CAGCTGTTAAACCAGCATACCATACTGTAATGCAATATGCGAGGACACTTTCTATGGTGGACCAATAGAAAGAGGTCATTGTCTGTTGTTCCACCTGATTTTTTCACAGAACTCTAAGGAAATGAAGTCTCTGTTGGGCCTTTCCAATCATCAGAGACTCTTATTTAAATCAATAAATAAATCTGTATTTTTATTATCCCCAAGCACCTTTGAATCAGATCTACAACATGGTGTACTGATAGATAATTTTCTAGCATCTCTATCATATATAACAGAAAACATAATTCCAAACGTTAAAAGGGATTTTTCACCCCTTTCATCTTCCCCAAATACTTCCTAACAATCATCTCGAGTAAATACAGAAAGGAAGGCATGGTAATGGAATGGTATATCATGGATAAAAGCATTATAGGTGAAAACTACTACAAACATGTTACTGATACGAAATAAACAACAATATTTCAAATAATATGGTTTCCTATATCTATACTTTATTAAAGTTTTTTTAACATGAATCTTGTCTTCCAAGTAATTCTAAAACTGAAAACTTCCAGAGATGGAACCGAATGGGATGTGTCTGAAATAAAACGACTTATTGATCACCAAGATAATATTGTATCATTGATCAGTGTCAGTGGTAAGCCTGTTTCAGTTTTATTATTTGTAATGATTGGTACAACACTCATTACACATTACATATTTTCATAACTATCTTCTTCCTTTGCCAACTAGAGTTTATATACCTCTATGAACTTTTATTTAATAAAGTTAGAAGTTTTTGTTTTTAAATATTCCAATTGTCTATACCAGAAATATGGGGAGGGGGCTGGGAGGAATAAACATGGCACATTCTTGTAGGCTGCCTTGGTAAAGATACAGAATCTTTATATCTTATAAAGATGAGTTTTTTAGTCTATAGTAGAAAGTTACGGTTTCTATTTTAGAGAGCTCAGACTAAGGTAACAGCAAAGTAAAATTAAGCTGCTGGGAAATTTTTTAATGGTTGGTTTCAGCAAGCTATGGTTAGTTTAAAGTTCATAAGTTGCCAGTCAGTAGCCTGCAGAAATGTTCTCTATGTTTTACTAAATCCTCCTGTTTGGAAAGGATTATATCAGTGGTTCCCAACGTGGGGCATATGCCCCACAAGGAAGGCAATTTCATTTTTAATGGGGGCAATTTGAATCTTGTTTAAAGCAAATTAAGGGTTTTTTAGGCTTCCTCCACATTAGTAGAGTACACTTTTTGAGTAAAGTAAGAATCATGTTACCCGGGGTTTGTGTGTGTGTGTGTTGTCAGTCTTGTCAGGATTTTAGAGATGCTTAGGTGGAGCATAGCCAAAAAAAAGGTTGGGAACCATTGGATTATACTCTTTACAAATATTTCTCTTTATAAAACATAATATATATTGTCATTTTTAAAATCCAAATGTTTGAATAAAGAAGAGATTGCTATTTATCAATATCAGTATTTACTATTTTGATATCTAGATTTGATTTTTGCAACTGGCTCCCATGCTGGTGAAATGATTGTGTGGAATTCATTGGACTGGACAATGCGAGGTTATGAATGCAATTGGGATGCATCTCTACATGTGAACCCCCAACAAGAAATAAAATTATCACAAAGTCAAAATGAAATGTCAATTCAGGATTTAACTTCTGATGATGAGGTAAAAATAATAGTATAAAAATTATGTAAATTACTACTTTCATTGTTAATAAATGATACCTTATTACCTTATTATAATTGGATTATTTTTCAGTTGTATGTTACGTTCAACCCAACTAGAAATACTGTTAATCAGTCCTAAGCAAAGCGTCTATGGATAGTCTTAGGTTTGAAAATTACCTTTAGCATTGTAGATGAAAATCATTCATATATAAGACCATTAAATGCAAATGGATGACTTCATTTCAAAACTGAAGTAGAATATATTTTAATGTACTTGGTACAATATTAGTAGTAATGAGTTAAATATGAATATGGAAAATATAATTTGTGAATGAAATCCTCATTATTGAAATGAATTCTCATTCAGAAAAAAATAAATTCTGTATTATTCCTCTTGTTTTCCTATTTTCCTTACATTTTATAGTAATCTTAACATTTTGGTTTACTTTATTGACTAACCATAATTTACTGAGAGTATTTGGCAGCATGTGGCTTGGCGCCTTAGGAATACTCCTTAGTACAGTGTATGTCAAGTTGATCTTGCTATATGAGTCAGGATATGTGATGCAGCTGGGAATACTATGCATGTTGTTTTAAATTCCACGAAGGAAGGGAAAATGTTCCGTGTTTCCCCGAAAATAAGACAGGGTCTTATTTTCTTTTCACCCACAAAATATGGCTTGGGCCTTATTATCAGGGGAGGGCTTATTGTTTTGGGGCTGGCGGCTGCTCCCTTGTGAGCGGATTCCTGAAGAGCCTCAGGGGTGAAGCAGCCATGAGGTGACCACGCTCATGAGCAGCTGCCTGGCAAACCCCCTCTCCAGCCGGGCAGAGCGCCATTCACTGACCTAAGGAGTATTCCTAAGGCGCCAAGCCACGTGGTGCTCTCCCTGGTCCCCCAGCTCCCGCGGCTTGGCACATTCGGGATACTCCCTAGGTCAGTGCATGGAGCTCTGGCCAGCTGGAGAGGGTGGTTGCGCGAGCGCCTGTTCTGTCCCCAGTTCGCATGCCTCCCAGCCTCATCATGCCCTGGCCCAGCTCTCCCTGCATGGCCAGGGCACCACCGCCGCTGCGCTCCGAGCATAACTTCTTCTCCGGCTTCCAAACTCCGAACTCGGCTTCTGATTCTTCCAGCAGCGGCCGCACTAGAAGTGCGCTCTATGGTTGTGGGCCTTATGGTAGATGGATTATACTATTAATATAAACTAAAGTCCAATATATGTTAATAAATATAGTAGTCATAAATCAGGATGTGCATAGCTCTTTCCTTCTTACATATTTGACTTAATTAGAAATAATTGGAAACCTCTTACATAAAGTATGTATTTTTTGTTGATCTTTTATTGACTTATTTTTTCCAGTTTATTTTTGCTGCTGTTGGCAAAGGCATCTATGTATATAACCTTCAGATGAAGCGTGTGATTGCCTTCCAGAAGACTGCTCATGATTCCAATATCCTGCATATTACCAATGTTCCCAACAGGTGCAATTTACATTGCCTATTTCATACATTCTTTACTTTCAACAAGATGATCAGGGACATGCTTAATATTTATGCATTTTGTCTCTTAAACTTTCTTTACGTTGAATCCTATCATAGTTTGTGTGCAGGCAACCTAATCTTTAGCCCAAACAACCTCTTTTTAAATGTAAGCTATTTTTTTTAAAGTATTAACAAAGAAACAGAAATCTAGGATCTGGTAGAATCCCTAGATTTTATTCTTTGAGATAGCATAGCTCCACAGTATAGCTCCAGAGAGGACAAGCAAAACCTATCATAGAAATCTTCCACATACATGTTTTTCCCTCCTCCATTCTGGTTTAAATTGGATGATCACATTTGTGATGAAACCACTTGTTTTAGCCTTAATTGTATGTGTTTTTTCTAAACTTGATTGGCTGTAAGCTGCCTATACTTGATAAAACAGAAAATTGTGTAAATAAATTGATAAAAGCAATTCTAGAGATAAATGCTACTTTTTAAAAATTTGTGTCAACTAATAGAGTTGTGCAAATACTCTTCTTCACAACTATTTGATTTATTCTTATAGAAAATTAATATCTTGTTCAGAAGATGGTAGTGTTCGTATGTGGGAATTACATGAAAAGCAACATCTTACAGCTGAACCTGTTCCATCAGGTCTGTATACAAAAAAATAAGATTAATTGCATAAAAATGAGTGATCAGCCATAGCTTATCCACTTTAGAATCCCATTTATAATAGTAAAGATGTACTTCTGTCCTTTTATTATTAGTAGTATTTGTGAAAATTTTGAAAGCAAAGCAGATCCAATATTTTGTTTTATTTTAAGAAAAAAGTAAAATGTATATATTGCCTTTAGTAGAAAAGTACACATGTTCTCTAAATGGAACAATGTTTCTCAACTTAAAAATTGCTTTTAATTCTAGAGCCATTTATGGGTAAAGTAGAATTATTCCTTCTGAATAAGAAACTTTGCCATATTATAGCCTTGAATAAAAATAGGTTACAATAGGATGTGATGGTGCGGCTTTTCTCATAGATTGTCTCAGAATGGCAAGAATACATTTTATCCCATTAAATTTAATGACTAGCTAAATGAATTAGAGATATGGTTGTTTCAGCCAAAAAGTCATATACCAATTTTGAAGAAAAGGTACATTTGTGTACTGCTATATGGCAAATAAGTGGTTCTGTTTATAATCATGATAGCACTCTTCCAATACCTAGGGGCTGGCACAAAGAAGAGGGGGCCAACCTATCGTAAAGCGCCTGAAGGTAGTACAAGAATAAATGGATGGAAACTAATCAAGGAGAGAACTAACCTAGAACCAAATAGACAATTAGAACATTTAATCAGTGGAATGACTTGCCTCCAGAAGTTGTAAATGCTCCAACTCTGAAAGTTTTTTAAAAAGAGATTGGATAACCATTTGTATGAAATGGTATAGGATCTTCTAATTGTGCTGTATTTGGACTAGAAGACCTCCAAGGTCGTTTACAATTCTGTTATCCAGATATACCATAAATGTGCCTAACTTCCAGCTATGCATTTAACTATGCCTTTCAGATAGCTCCTTATTTAGAAATAATAATAATATTAGCAAATATCAGGTTGTTTTAGCAAGCTAGGTTAAATGCTTTTTCCTCACTGGCTGAAACATAGATTTGAGTGGAATACCATTTGCAAGAAGACTTTGCCATTGCACTAACGAAGTGGTGAAGTTAGTGAAAATTAATCTGGCCTTTACAAAAAAACCAAGTCAAGGTTTATGTAGTAAGTAAAAGTTTATATAAAAACTAAGGTTGATATAACTATAATTATATAGGTTCAAATATATAGGCTGACGTAACTATAATTACCTCAGGCTCTTGCCCTGAAGTTATGACATGACTCTTCAGAAGGCTCTGCCTATTGAACTAAGGACATAGATAGTAAATTAAAGTACAATGGCTGGATTATCTTAACTACATTTTTATTCATTTATTGTGGCTGCATATTTTATATTTTATGTATATTGTTTAATATAAATAGTTGGCATTATTTTTAACTGATTTCATTCAACGGGTCTATTGTTCACAATAAATGTCAGCATTTAATTATTCGGCTTATTCTAAACTATGTGATCTGAATTAGACATTTTTGTTCTTACATATAACATGATTATGATTACATATTTTGAAGTGAAATGTAGTCTTCAGTGACTGACAACTCACTCTATACATAGACAATAGCAAGAATGGATGCAAATAAAAGAAGTAATGCAACAAAGTTTATAATTATCAGATTTTGAGTGTGAACAGAACAGAACAATGTTTGGGGCTAGACAAACAACTCATTTTTTTAAAAATCTTTTCTTTATATTCCAGGTTTTTTCAATATCTGGGGATTTGGCAGGACAAGCAAACAAGCAAATCACACAGCTAAAAAGGCACCAGAGTGTGCTACTATTTTTTCCCTTGACCTAACTGGGGATCTGATTGGACACTCGGCAGCTGTACAGGTTTGTTGGATCTAGTACGGCAGATAACAGAAGTTGCTTTTGTATGGGGGCTACTTTTTAAGATAATTCTTACCTTGGCTTTGGTTGTCTTATACTTGGGGATTTTTTTTTAGTCCTAAGAACATTTTATCTTATACCTGCATTGGTGTAGGAAACATGTTTGATAGCTATGTGTTCTGACCCCCCCGGTCTGTGAATAAACCAGAACACAGGCTTGGCTGTGTGCCACTGTTCAATGACTGAGATAACAAATCCTTTGGCTGAGGGCCCAGGCAACTCACGTTCAATAGAGTAGCTCTGCAACAACCCAGATAGTTCAAACGAAGCAACATAGATAGTCCAAACGAACAGACATGACTAGAATACAAAGATAGATTTTCTTAACTACTAATTCAAACTGTTGTTTCCTGCAAATGTCCCCTCCCAACGCCTCACCTCTAGTATCTCTTGGGAGGGGCCAATCAACCACCACCTGTGCTTAATCATCTTCTGTGAGTCTGCCTACGGAGTTCTGCTTCCGTTTGTCAGCCCTTCTCAATCTAGCATCAGGGACAAACTGTCTTTGATCCTCCCCACTGCTCCATGCCTCAGGCGCCTCCTGGTGCCCAACCAGCCTCTCTGGTCCCTGCTCTGAGTCTGAACCCTGCCCAGGGTCCTCCACATTGCCCAGGGCAGACTTGTATGGTTCCTCGCTATCCGAGTCCATCAGCAGCTCAATCGGATCCTGCTGGGCCACAACAGCTATGTATGAAATTACATGATCATGTTTAAAATGCAGTATTGCAGGCCAACTCAGCCACAGCCTGGAGTTCAATCCTGACTCAGGTTGACTCAGGCTTCCATCTTTCCAAGGTCAGTAAAATGAGGACCCAGATTGTAAACATTGTAAACTGCTTAGAGAGAGCTGTAAAGTACTATGAAGCGGTATATAAGTTAAGTGCTACGGTTTTGCTATCATGGCAAAATGAACATGTTTAAAAGGTTCTCCTAAAACTGTGACGGGGAAATATACAATATGCTTGCACAGTCATTTCTGTCTAAAGGGTCTATGAAGTGAATCTTTAAAAATGATTTCTCAAGAATTTCTTTTATTTAGTGGGAATACTGGTAGTCCTCAAATTATGACCACAATTGAGGCCAAAATTTCTCTTCTTAAGTGAGATATTTGTTAATTGAGTTTTGCCCCATTTTACGACCTTACTTGCCACAGTTGTTAAGTGAATCACTGCAGTTGATAAGTTGGTAAGCCAGTTGTTTAGT